AGCATTCCCTCTGAAGGCCACTTGTACAAGGACAGGTTTGAATGCAATCTCCTGCACCCCTCTGAGGTCACCTGGAGCCCCACTTATACCAAACTCCACTGCAGAGTGTGAGAAGAAGCAGTGCAGCAGGAAGTTCATGAGGACCTCAAGTTCCTGCAGTGCCATTGTTCTACCACCCCTGCCCCTGGCACTACAACTGCCACTATCCCCCTTTCCCATCCTTACTGCATGTACATACAGTGTACATAATCTCTTATGCCCCACAATGATCCCCATTCTCACAGTCCAGCCAATGAAATACTAAAGTGCTTCACATATCTATTTTCTGATTTAGAATCTCTCCTGGATTTCCTTCCATGATTCACCAACAATATTTTAAAGGTCAAAAGCAAAATTTCCAAATCGTATGAACACAATGGATCTTTATTATTAGGAAGCAGCATACTTGTGCTTTTTCTACTCCCTAAAGTTTATTTGTAAGCCCCTAAATTAAAATTTATAATGTTTCATTGTCACTCACAGATACGTACAGAGAGGTGAAGAATGTGAGTGGCTGGACAGTAGCAAATGTTCCCAGCAAGTAGAGCAAGGCAGTGCTCTTCAGGAGATGTAAGTAGTTTTTGTTATTTCTACATGCAGCATTTGTGATTTCCCATACTGCGTAAAATGTATCTGTAACTCCAAACTTCATAGTCCAGTGCTTCTTCAGCTATCTGGGGACATGCGCAGAGCCACAAAACATCTGAGTCTCCTGCTCAACTCACATTCTAGCTGACATTGAAGAAGGTTGCACTCTTTCTTCTTGTTTCAGCTGTCATACAATAAACAAATACCTTTTAGGTAGCCTATTTAGTACCATGTTTCTCACATTTTTGTGCATTGTGTTGGAGATTTCACTTTCAGAGATTTTGAAATGCTCCAGGGTTAGTGCTGATATTTATCTAGTGCTCCTTGGTACATGACGAATGTGATGTGCCTTACATGGAAAAGGTAAGTTTTGTTCAGACATGAGCTATATGGTGCTGTTGGCTGTGGGCTCGATATTCATGAATCAACAATATACATTGAATAAGGTGCCTTTAAACAGAAGCATCCATAAAATGAGGTTTGGGACCAATAGGTTGATAAAAATACTGTGACCAGAGGCTCAAAGGAACCTAACCCTACCTGTCCACTAGGAAAAATAGTTTAATATTCTCTAACTCAGTACTTGAGGCAACTTTATAGAAATAACTACTGCAAATAATGAGAATCAAGTATCATTCTTTATTTATCCCATCTTCAATTTCTATTTTTATCCATAAATTCATGTAATGGCCCAGAAACTGGAGAAGTATCTGTATTGTTGAGGACATGATGACCAAAAACGTATGTACAAGTTTCGAACAAATGCAATTTTTAAAAATATCTTCAGTCCAAAGTTAGAATTAACAGAACCATCTTCCAGGGGTCCAAATAAGTAGTCAGCTATTATTAATCTATTTTGTATTGATTTAAAAAATAATGCTAGAGAATTAATTGGCTGAGGTTACTGAGAGATAAGGTTTGAGGTGGGGATAAAGTTGGAAAAACTTAAGGGGATTTAAGTGAAAAAATGATAATGGAGAATTGAGAGTGACAAGCATGTACTGACTCTAAGAGAAGATTCTGAGAGAACTCTGCTGGGTCACCTCCGGGCAAAGGAGGAAAAATGCATAGACAGAGGCTCTGAAACAGTATGATTCCAAGTGCATGAGGTTTGGTATGGAGAGAGAAACAGTACAAAAAGGAAGCGTGCCTTCTAGAGCAGGGGCCAAGGGGAGACTGGCTTGGTTAAGGCACACAGAGCTAGAGTTAGCGGTCAAACTGGGCAGGAAAGGACTTCAACAAGATCACACAAGGGGACAGAGGGCAGAGTAAGGGGGAGCTCCCAATGTGGGCGCACTGTGGAAAGCTTAATCCAGTAGGGGAACTTGTGACAAAGGAGTGTCTGGGATGAACTGTAAGTGTTTTAACCTCAGGAAAGGAGAGTCTATGTGAACTTTAACCCACTGTACTTGCTTTATTCCTCCAAAGAATCTTCACCTTGGTAAAGGCCGGTAGTGTGCTTGTGCGAGTCACTAGGGCTGACTTTTCCGTGAAACACAGAAAACTGAGTGCCCTAATGGCACTGTTAGGGGGCCGGGACAATGTTTTCACGTTAATTTCTTTTGAAATCAGAAAGAAAACAGACATAATAAATTACAAATATACAAACATGAATCCAGCCTGCCTGGATTATATCCACGCTCTATTGACATGTTTATAAAATAGGATGATCAAGATTTTTATGGAAGAAGGGGTTCGTGAAGGCAAAAGCTGAGTGAACCCCTTACCAGATAAAGCACACAGCGGACCCATTCACCCACTTTTATGCAGCATCAAAGATCACCCAAATACTCTGGCATCCACATTTCTATCATTTCCCAAGCTCTTCTTCACCTTCAATCTGTATAGCACCTAATCTGTTGATGGTACTTTAAAATGTTTAAAGAATGACAGTATCAATTTCCCCTAGGTTTTGAGCTCTTAAATCATACATTTTAAAGAACGGAATGCTCGTACTGTGTTCTATAACCCATACATCCATCTTTATGAACTACTAAAATCAGTTAAGAACAGCTTCCATCACTGAGCTAGTTTAAATGATTAAAACAGAAAAAGAGTTATTTTTTCCTCTTATTTTGTACTAAACACAGTTCCTCGGGGTTTATAAATACACTTTATCAAATCCCTCTGTGCAAGTAGTCCTGAGTGTTTGTTCCCCCACCAACCCTGCACCATGAGAGAATGAATAAATGAATATCTAACAGGGCCCGCACAATACCCACGAGATAATCGGCATTCTGGAAGTGTCTGAAGATATCATGTATGATAGACACCAGAGAGTGACCCTGTGCATATTACTCCCGAATTGCTGGCTGGCAAAGAGGCCTGAGCCACACAAACAGCTCAGAGAAGGACACACGAGATAAATTTAGAAAACAGGGTCAGAGTGATTAGTAGATGTCAGAACTGATAGTTTTTGGTGCCTTCTGATTTATGCAGGACACAGTTGCTGATTTCCTTTGTTTTCAATCCCTATACATTCAGGCTCCAGTTATTCACTACAATTGGCCTCACTCTTTACTGAAGACTGGAGTGTCAGCTGTCGAAGGAAGAACGGACAGAAGACACGTTCAACACCAGAAGCCCAGTCCCCGGCCCCTTTGGGTTCCAGCCTCCTGGGTGGTTGTTAAAAACTGCCAAAACTGATCTCCAAATGGAGCTTCTGCAAGGCCAGCTTACAATCACAAGAGGACACTGCAGGAGCCTCCCAGTGAAAGCCGTACTGAGAGTAACTGAATGCGTGAACACCAGCAAAGCTATGAGAATGGTCTGGTAAGCTAGGTCTGCTTTAATAGAAACATAAGTATTATGTATTGCAGTCTATTATAAATTGGTTGTAATTTTCTCCTGACAGTTTCTGAATTAAACTAGTTAGTATACAAATAATAATAACAATAATAATAACAAATGCCACAAAGCAAAAAACAAACTCAGTGTCTGAAGGTTAATGATTGCTCATGAAAGCCACAGAAATAAATTATCTGCCTAGGGACACTGTCACGTGATCAGCACAAAAGCTGCAACAGCCAAAAATGTTTATGTAGAGGAAAAAAACACTGTCAGCGTCACAGCACCCTTCCCCCCACAGCTAAATTCGAGTCCCGAGCCAGCCAGCTGCTCCTGACTGCTTACATTAAACTAATTTGTGCTGCTACATTGCAGCTGCTTAATTTTTAGTCTCAACTTTATCACCAATAAGTGTTACAATAACAAGCGATATGATGGTATCTCTGAAGAAATATCCATCAACCCCCAAACAATGACAGCTTTACAAGAGTAGATTGCAGAAAAACAAATTAAAAAAAAAAAAAAAAAAGAACAAGAAGAAGAAAGAAATCACCCCCACACTGCCTCTTTAAAAGGGGGGGGAGGGGCCAACTTTTAGTGGAAAAGGCTTTAAAACGCTGCTTTGTTCAGAAGGCCATTCTGCAGTGATGAAGGGGATGATTGAAAAGGTTAGCAAGCAGGGGAAGAGTTAACAAGTAAGATGTGCTTTTGCTAAGAGGGGGTGATTTGCAAGGTGAGAGCCTTAGCAGGGAGAAGGCAATTTCCTTACAACAATGCAATCTGTATTCTCTTGCTCACTGTCCTCCAAACGTTTTGTGAACCCAAACTGCAGCTCAGGCTGAGTTGCTCCACACACTATTCTTTGGCCAGCCTGGCATTAGAGCTCACAATATGAGTTGTTGTTCCCCGTGTTTTTCTGTGTTGTTTTCCTGGTCCAGGGTAAATGCACAAACTCTTCTTTGGGCAAAAAACAGACATTGACCTGAACTGGTTTAAATTCCTGCCAAATATGCAGGCCCTGTTTTTGCTACATTTTGGAATTTGGCTGAGACCATATGTCAGACATTTATTTGTACTCAGAACTAGAATAGAGACCCAACAACTTAAAAAAATAAAAGATTTTTTTTAAAAAAAAAAACATTAGGAATGCCATGAAACTTTTCCATTATTAATTAATCTGGATATGACTAATGCTTTCACTTGAGATATCTCATTACACACTCTTCTGTTTACTGCTGGGGACAATTCAACTTTATCCCACTTAGTAATTACAAAAACAATTCCTTTGAAAGCAGGGGAAGAACACCCATGTCAGCTATTTACAGCATTTTTTAAATTCTGTGGTTTTCAGAATTAAGGTTCAAAGTGAGTGTTATTAACGTTAAGTAATAAAGTAGTTTTTCTTGCACAAAGATATCCTCAATTTGAAAAAGAAATGTTTACACTGGAATAATTTTCTCAGGGCAGCAAGGGGGTGAGGGTGATGGAGTGGAGATTTAGGCCCACCCTTGTTTTTTCAACTTGACACCTTCACACCTCATGGTCACAGCTCAGGTTCTAGCAGTATTTTCTTTTTTCAGACAGCTGGTAAATCAAGCTACAGGACTGAATTAGAGCACCATGGGACACGGCTCTGTTTCCGTGGGTTTCTCGTGAGGACCCTCAACTGTGGAAGGTGATTGTGTTTGTAAGAGCTCTCCAGGGGAAGATCCCAGGGGAAAAGATATGGAGTCCCCAAAGCCCACCAGGATTATTCTCCTCTGATGCCAACTGGGTCACTGTAGCACAATGCAAGTCTTTCTCTTTGCAGAGCTCACCGTGATACCTTGTTTGCTATTGGTCAGGCATTGAGGCTGCTGGGAACTCAGACTAAAAGCATTCTGGAGCCTAGAGGTAAGGCAGGGTGTAACTTGAATGAAAGCAACTTTTTAAAAGACACCTACCCATAGGCAGGCAGGGAAGGGCTTAGGATGGAAGGGTGGCAGCAGGGAGAGTCTCTGAAGAGTAGCTCACTTCTTAATGATGAAATGGGCAGTCGGTTTGGTTGGCCTTCAACAGAGGCTGGTGTGTGGAGGCCAGACATGCTGTCAAAACATCAATTGAGAAATGAAGAATTCATTTGATGGGATCTACCTGCGCTCTCTGTTTTCTTCAGAGTTGGACTAAATTGGTGCAGTGAGGACACTTGAAAGCTGGTGGACAAGTTCACCCCATTTTGTGAAAGGCAGGGGAACAGCCAGGGGTTTATGTGTACCTGTGAGCGTCCGCGCTTGAGGTGCACACAGATGCACTCAGAAGCAGTAGGTATGCAGAGACTCTTCCCACAGCAAGCCCACGATGACAGAAAGGACTCCCTACCAGCCAGGAATGATCTCACAGGGCTGAGCAGTTTGAATTGGCTACTTTCCTAAAAATCTCTAGAAACAAATTCTTTTCGACATAGCCTTTTCCAGAACGTGCCAAGTTAGGGTTGGCTCTGCAAATCCTGAGTGAGGATCATAATTCAGGCAAAGTGGTTGTTTTTATCTTTGTGGAGTTCATAAGCAGGGAAAGGCTGTCAGGTTCCTTCGTCATGTCTCTGAACTGCCTTCAACCTAGCTTTGCTTGTTAGCTAGAAGGTAGGCCTTTCTGGCATCTATCTGTCGGAGAAGTGGAAATAGTTAATGAGGTATATAGTGAGGTATGTTGTAATTTCCAATTAACAGCATTAGAACTTGTAGTCATAAGCTTGAAATGTATCATTTTTCACAGGAATGAAGTGTGGAAAGTAATATATACCGTATGACTGGGGAGTACAAATTTTGTTTTCCATTTTTGTCTCCGTATTGGACCATAGGCCAAATTCTGAAATGATAAAAGGCAAGTATATACCTACATTTTTCAATATTTTCTTCAATGAAATTATAAATGATGAACAATCGATCTAAAATTAAAATGACATTACAATTAATACATATATACATAAATTCTAGAATATTTGTCCTAAAATCTTTATGACTTCAAAAGTTATCAAAAGAGATACTATACATGGAAGTGTTTTTGCACAATGTGGATGTTATTAAATATAAAGAATATTATATTATTATTATATCCATCTTCAAATTTTAACCAGCACTTCACTATATCTTTTATTTGCAACATAGGTTCAAAAAAAAGGTATGTGTAAAGAAGGGTATATTGTGCAAAACCCTCCAAGAAACCAAACTAAAGGACAAATCTTGTCTCAAGTGTTTCTTCACTAGAAATAATTGTGCGTTTGTAGTGTGTGTAGTAAGGGAGCTATCCTGATGTCAGCTGACTTAAGAACAGACTAGCTTCTTCCTGCTCAAAATGTGCATCCCTGCCAATGTAAAATCCTACCGTTGTCCCCCAATTCAATCACCAAGAAACCAAACAACAAAACAAGGAGACAGTACCTCTGCTGTCCCTCAGTTGGCATGCATCTGTCTGTTCTGAATCCAAACTGCTAAATGACAGGGAAGGTTTGGACAGATATACCCATAAGTGGAGCCAAGCTACCCATTAGGCACACCTGCCATTTTGCTCAGAGTCCAGGATACCTTAGGTGTTCATGAAAATATTGTAATTTTTTTTAGAAATCAGAAAAAATGATCTTTTAAGTCTAAATGTTTCATAGTGTAGAATATTAATATATCCATCTTTATGTTAACAAAATCATAAAATATTATTTCTATTCAGTTCAGTAAAGAAAAGAGCCCATGAAGGCAAAAGGCTCCTGCATTAGTTTCCTATTGCTGCCGCAACAAGTCTCCACAACTGAGGTGATTCTGTTATCCTATGGTTATGGTAGGCAAAAGTCCAAATATGGTCTTATAGGGCTAGAACTCAGGTGTCAAGAAAGCTGCTTGTTCCCCTATAGAAAGAATTGAGGGTGCCCCATTCTATTAAGGAACAGCCAGAGCACTGCAAAAGATGTACCTTGCTTAGCTGTATATCCCTTCCAGGCTGCTTATTTCCCTATTGTACTTAAGTTGGTTCTTACTAAGAATCTCAGTTACTGTGCCATTTTGATAGAGGGCTGTGAAGAATGCCTCCTGGACCTGGACACACACTGTTATGGTTTAGACCTAAGTTCCCCTCTCCCTCAGAATTCTTCTGCATATGGAACATGGCCAAATCATGGGAGCACTGTACTCACCAGTGAATTCATCCATTGACAAGGTCAGAAATTAAAGGTGCTGTTGGCAGGTGGGGCCTGGCTCCTCCCTTCTCTCTTTGCTTCCTGGCTGCTCTAGGCTAAGCACTTTTTTCCTTCATCACATCCCTCTGCCATCCTGTTTCTGCCTTGGAGCCAATCAACCATGGGCTGAAACCGTGAGCCAAAATAAACCTCTCCTCCTTTAAGTTGTGGCTGTTGGATATTTCCTGCCAGCAATGAGAAAGGGACCAAGACACTGACTCAAAGGTAGTTCACTTCAGAGTAAGTTTTTTAAACCTAATACTAACAGCTGTGGGTAAATGGAAGAGGATTATCAAGATACCCCCACTCAGTCACCAGATGCCTTCTATAGATACTGTCTTGTTCCCAATCTGATTTTCTGAGGTCCCAGCAATATGTATGATCTTGAGGTGATCATTAAGATCTGATAGACATGTTTTCAGGATTAGAATTAACATGACAAGAAGAATGAGGAAGGTGGCTATTCCTGGCACTGTAACAGACAGGAGAGTGATTTTATGAATATGAGCTCAAGTTGACTAATGGTCCAGTAGATTTCATCTTTCCAGGGAGTCTTCTCTCCATAATATTATATACTTAATTCAAATCTTCTGATTTTCCTTTACACACCAAGGCACAGCCTCAGGAATGCCAAGCCCCCACATAGTTCACTTTTTATCTGATATTTAGCACTTACAAAACACATTTGCAGCCTAAACTAAGCAATAGGCTGAGACACTTCTGTTGTTGTAGGTTGTAATTTCAACTCCCTGGTAATCCATTCCTCTGTATTACCATCTATAAAATGGATATAGCAATAATAAAGCAAGCCATGAAATTATTTATGAGGTTTAACCACTTATGAGATTGTATGACTCTTTACACATATAAAATCCTGAGTAGTCCAAGTAATAAAAAGTAACATTTCCCAGTGACATCTCTATGAAATTCTCAACAAGTACGACCTTTCCACAGAGGATGTCTCAGCTATAGAGCTGCACAGACCGATATGAAATGGCACCTGAGTGAAAACCAGAGAAATGTAACTCAATCTGAATTTGAAAATTGGATTTTATCACATTCACAACATATTTCACAGTAGTCATCTGTTTAATTACTATATTATTCTCCTTACCATCATGAAGAAGAAATATCACAGAAAATTATTTTAAAGAGAGCCTACGATTTTTTGAGTTTTCTAGTGAAAGATAAAGCTTTCAAAAATCTTTGCCACGGGAAAGTCTTTGAAGTATTTTTGCTGCTGTTTGATCAGTTAAACTTCTGTTTATTTTTTGTTTAGGGGTCAGGGGAAGAGGTTTGAATTCAGGGCCTTTTGGCTACTAAGCATGTGCTCCAGCATTGAGCTATACCTGCAACCCCTAGTTGAGATTTTGAGTATTTGCACTATTTTGAAATGTTTTAATTCTCTAAAGCCTAGTAATAGGGTGCATAATTGTGGGAGATGATTTCATAAGAGAAAACTAAACATAATAATGTGGTATATGTGTAGAATTCCTGACTGAAGAGAATTGAAATAGGAAAGGAGTGGTTAAAACAAAGAGCAGAGCTAACTAAAATTTTGAGCCGTTTTATATTTAATGGGAAAAATTCTCCAATATACAAAGTCTAGGTTTAAAAAAAAAGGAGAAAGAGCAAAGTCAGGAAGGTCAGGTTATTAAAGAGGATTTCTGCCGAGAAATTATATAATAATACTTCGGAAAAAACTTGGTGAAGCTGGAATAATGACATCCTGAATATTGTTTGGCCACAAACAGTAGAAATTTGCAATGCCTTCTACCTCATCTCTACAAAAGAGGATAGGGACCAGGGAAAACTCTCAACACCAAAGAACTAAGTCCAACCAATGATATCAAAGGAGAAAAAAGAAACCACGATGTGGGGTGTTTTATATTCCAAACTATTATTTGATATTCCCTAGAATTTTTTTTTCATCTTGCTAGTGTACTTGCCCCACCATGCTGGGGAGTTATGCTATTTTAGACATGAGTTAACAGGTCTCTTACATGCACACATTTCCACATTCCAGTGAGACCTATTATATCCTTTTCCTTGCGACTCCACCCTCACCACACACGCTCACGCACACAGACAAATATCACTCTCTCCTCTCTGCCCACACAGTGCCCTCCCCTCTGTTCAGTATTCCTCATTGTCTAACACTTTCCAACTGCTGAACGTTTCCAAGGCCATACAAATCCACATGCCCCAGAAAGGCTTCCTACTGTGTAATGTGTTTGATTCTGCAAAATAAAATCTCTGTAGCCAGACAGCAGATAAAACAGAACCCATGGCAAGAAGAAGGAAGGACTTTGACTTGGCTGGTAATTGAGAAAGTGAAAATAGATCTCAAGGCATCCTGTAAGCCTCGACATTCAACAAGCAGACCATGGACCTGGACCATGGACCCACAGCTGAGAGCTTGTCAGAAATGCAGGACCCACACTACATCACACTTCCTGGATCAGAATTTACACTTTAATCAGATCCCTAGATGCACATTACAGATAGAGAAATGCTTCACTTTCTCAATCTCCCCTACCACCAGGAAACAAAAGCCAGTTGTCAATAACTTAAATATTTATATCCAAGGGGCAGAAAACTCACAACTTCCCTTGGCACATATTCCAGAACTATTAGCCTAAGTAATCAAGATGCAGCTATACTTCTCACCTTCCGCTTATCACCCTTCTCATAATTTACTGCCACTGTCTTTGTTCCACACACTGATTCAGAATCTTTCTCCTAACAACTTCACAGCAAAGTAAGAGAACTACAGTCTTCAATGGGCTTTGGAACGAAGACACAAGGCTCCGATACTCTGGACCCCCTTGAATATTTGAGAGATGCTTCATTCTCTACCACTCCCTTTGAAACTACCTTATAGAAAGAAAAGTAAGAAGAGTATGACTGCTCCAGAGGCACTGTCATCAGACTCGGAGAAATTACTGAATCTATAGCAAGAAGAAATTACTGGCTCTATAAAGAAGGTTAAAATTCTTTTTTTTTTTCTTTCTTATGTTAAGAAGTTAGCCTGGAAGACACTTTTTTTTTTCTTTCTTATGTTAAGAAGTTAGCCTGGAAGACACTCAGGACACTGCATCACATCTCACAGGTATGTACCCTTTTTAGGACAGCCTACTTCTCACTTTGCAAGTGGAGGGCTAGAAGTTATTGGAAAAGGTCTCTTAGGACTTCGACCTGGTGGAAAGCAATAAGTGAAGGATAGTAGCAAAAGTATGCAAATTCACTTTAATAAAGAGAGAACTGCTCTACGGAAAGATAAGTCAACTTGGAAAGGGTTCATTGCCAAGGAAGGAGAGCACGAGACAAGTAGCACAGACAAACATGGTGGAGCCCATCCAAGGACTCTAGGGAAGGCACTATCCTACTGAGACTCTGATGCTGAGCCTTGCCAGTCCTAGTGAAAAGTCATGCTTAGATGGAGACAGATGCACAGCATGTGGCCACAGACTATTTCTGGACCTATTGGCAAGATTGTTCTTATTGTGTCTTGGATGTTTTGAGACAACTGAGGCCACTATACACAAATTTATCTAAAACTTACTTTTAAGCTTCCACTCTACAAAAAATGACCTATGAGTTCAGTTTCCTTAAAGCTTGATTGATTACAACAAGGAAGGGGCAAGTTCCAGTATTCTGATTCTTCATGTCCTAACATCTCACAGTAAATTAATGAGTTGACTTTCTAAATTATATATCATTCCTAAAAGCTGGGCTAATGTGAGTGTCCCCCTGAGAAAGGGATGCTCAGTGTACTTACAAATCAGCTTCCTGGGCTACCAGCCTGGGGCTAGATGAACCATGATTCATTAATCAAAGCCCAAATGGCTACTGCAGGAAGCTTGTCCAGAGACAGTGCTGGGCCCTTGGCTTATGGTAGCCATATAATTATTAAGATGGGATTATAATTAATCTTTAAAGTCTGTGGTCCAGGAAACTTTTAGGATTGTTTAGAAATACTTATATATTTCCTCATACACTGCTGGGAATACCAGAGGAATATCAAAGGCAACCATACAAATCACTAAGGGGGAATTCATCTACTTATTTCTCAGCAAATGCTGTCTTTATTTCTCCCATGTGCCTGGCACTGTGCATAATGCTTGGGACATTCTGAATGACAAATACACAATCAAGAATCCACAAAGCAGTGTGCCAGTGCTACACTGGAAGCATGTTAGCAATGCAGTGCCTATAGAAAAGGTGCGCATGTCTTCCTGGGAGCTCAGGGTAGTTTCTAAGTGAAAATTACATTTAAACTGAAACTTGAAATGGAAGAATAACTGGCTAAGCAGGTAATCTTGGAAGAAAATCTATCTGATCAGCAAAATAAAATGGCTGATGCCTTACAGCAGTTAATACAATGAACAGCAAGAAGAAAGAACTGTGACTCCTCTGGTGATGTAGACACAGTCTAAAAATAGAGCATGTGGCCCTGCCTAGTAAAGTATGGTCTATGGACCAGCAGCAGCATCTGGAATCTTAATGGAAATACAGAATCTCACACATCAACTGCACCAGAATCTGTATTTCAGCAGGTTTGGAGAAGTACATGTATTAACATATAACTAGGGGCTGGGGGTTTAGCTCAGCGGCAAAAGCGCCTGCCTGGCAAGCACAAGGTCGTGAGTTCGGTTCCCGGTACTGGAGAAAAACCAAAAAAAAACATATAACTAGATGGTAGGGTAGCAGGAGGTGAGCCTAACAGGTAGGATAAAACTAGATTAAAAGGGGTTACATTTGCCATATAAAAGGATAAATTTAAGAATTTGAAACTGAAGAGATGTTATATATTACATGTGTCTTTAATAGGGTGGAGAACAGATTAAATCTAAGACAAGCTTGCTAGTTCTGGACCAAAAAAAGACTAAGGCAAGGTCAGCATTAGCAGGAAGAAAGCATTTAGAAGTTTTTGAAGAGGCAGAGAGGGCAAGAAACAGTGATAGACTAGTCTGAGGGGTAAGAGCGAGAAAGGAGAGACTAGGATTCTGAAGGGTCTGACTTGGATACCTCACTGGATGATGGTGCCTCTCAGGCAAATGAAGAAAATGGGAGGGAAAAGTTGGCTTGACAATTACAAGGATCTCTTCCAGACCTTCCAGTATGAAGGCTCTGTACATAAATGTACATTAATATCTACGATTTGAAATCAAGCTAAGGAGCATAAAGAAATATTGACCTGGAAATTATTGAGATAGAGGATAATTGACACTGTGAGCAAAGATATTATTTTCCAAGGAAACTATGTAAAGTGAGAAGAGAATCTTTCTTGTGTTACTGCTCCACAAGTGTGATCTGCCTTCCCTCCTTACCCCATCATAATATTTTCAAGACATTGTTGTCATAACTGGTAAGTATAAATTCAAGATTCTGTAATTTTTGTGACACTCCTAATTATCTTTAAAATACATATCTATCCAAAAGTCCATGTCACTGTGGTCCTGCCTTAAGCTATATGATTGTATGTGAATTTTTTTTTTTTTTTTTTTTTTTGGTTTTTCTCCGGTACCGGGAACCGAACTCACGACCTTGCACTTGCCAGGCAGGCGCTTTTGCCGCTGAGCTAAATCCCCAGCCCCGATTGTATGTGAATTTAATTTTAAAATGCACACTAATGATTTTTGAAAATGAATAAATCTCTCATCCTAAGAATTAAGTGCATTTCACAAAGGATATGTAATTTCCTGGTAATTTCCAACACCATGGCCCAGCAATACCAGCCATTTTTGGGAAACAGATGAACTTTAGTTGCTCTTCCTACCACATTACTAAGTGGAAAGCCATGATTTCTCTTCCTACTTCCCCTCCCAGTGAAAGGCTTGTTCAGCCCAGGGATGGAGTGAAGTGTGGGATTGTCTTTAAAATACTCCATTGAAACTCAGGGAGAGAGAAAATAGAATGCATAGGATTATGTATGAAAACAAGACTGGTCATGAGTTGATCATTGTTGAAACTGGTTGAGTAGTACTTGGAGTTATGTTTATGTTTGAAACTTTCATAACAAGAAAAAAAAATTTAATGAACAGAAATGATTATTAAAGAGTGGACCTAAATTCTTGCTCTGGAAAAGTCCTATTTCTAAAGAAAGGTCAGGACATAAAGTAAATAACAGTTTTATCTTTGGATTTGCCAATAGTGTCAAACTATCATACTTTGCTTAAGGCATTTTTGTCATTCTAATTAATCCAACATCATTCAACACATTCATTAACATTATATTTACTACATCTTCCAAATCATAATTAATAGAACTAAGACCAAGTATTTTATGGTGGTATAAATCACTAGGAAAACCTTCTCAATTATACAGTTGGTGAAAAGCAATGAATGATAATAATTCTGCAGATTCACTTTAAGATGATCCTCAACAGATCTGTAAGGTTCATTCATTTCATTTAAATTTCTACATAACACATTGAAATGCCTCCAATATTTCAAAAGGCAAAGTTAAAAAGAGAAAGTAAAATGACAGTTATGTTCAATTTAGCTCCTAATTTATTGGGTGGGGGTAGATTTTTCACAAGAAATGCTTATAAATATAGCCTCAAAGTCTCTGTCTTATTTCATCATTTAGAAACAAATCAGAAAAAATGTATTTTAAAACACTGAATTTTTTAGCATAAATACAAAAATTCCTAACCTCAAGTGAGCAGAGAAATGTATGTTTGTTTTTGAAGCCATATGTTGCTAAAATAATACAGGAATAAAGAATCACTTGATTGGTAATGTGATTTATAGATATGATGTGAAAAGAATTCCTGAGTCTAAAAAGGCTGATAAATAATTGATGTTGTACTTTATTCCATGCTGATATTTTTAACCAAATATACCTGGATAAATATATACAATTATGACTAAATATCACTGAAAATATCTTACATGAAATTTGATTGTTACATAAATAAAACATATTATTCTTCTATTACCCCCTTTGTTCAGGTCATTTGTCTGTTTACTCTCAAAACCGTTCCCCATTATTCCCCTGGAACTGCACTTATGTCAGGGCAAACTCTATAAACTACATTTCCCAGAGTCTCTTTCAAACTTACTTCCTGTTAGACTTGGCCAATGGGAGGCACCAGTGGGAGAATTGGGCAGAAAGAATCTAGAGTATTTCCCCCTCCTCCTACTTTGGGTAGTGGCTGTGTCTCATTCCTAGCCCAGTTTCTGGTGGAGAGCCTCTCCCTTTGAAGCTCTAGCCTCCTCCCGGTCCCTGTAGACGTGGTCCTAGTTTCTGCCCATTGGTTCTGACCACAGGAGCATGATGGAGGCTTCTCGCTATCGCTACTATCTAGTTGCCTTCCTTCCTGCTTACCTAGGAAAACCTTACCTAGGAAAAACTATTTACCCATATAAATGCACTTAATGAACTATTTCTAATATAGTCTCTCTGTTCCTGACTGACCCCTCTTCATCTTCAGTTTTTTCAATTTTATAGTGGTCTGTCTATGACAGGGTCTCACTACGCGCTCCTGGCTAGGCTTAAAATTGCAATCTTTCTGCCTCAACCTCCCAGAAGGCTGGAATTACAGATGTGCACCACTATGGCAATTATATAGTGTTTTTTTAAGAGTCACTTTGCATGCTGGCATAATTTTTACTCTTATAAGATGCGTCTATCTATTTACAATCAATTGTTTCTTAAATTTTTGAAAATATCCATCTCAACAGTTCTATTACTTTACAAGTACTGATGAAAGACTATTTCCTATCGTATGAAAGGAATTTTAATTTAAAAATTAGTAACAATATTGTCTGTTTTTAATGAACATTTGATGGTCACATATTAAATCCACACCACAGTGAAACATTAGAAATAGATTTTTAAAATATCAATTTTCCTGGAGACAAACTTTTCAACTTGCTATGAAAACTGAACATACTCAATGAAAACAATAACAAGTTATTAACAGATCTAATTTGCATTACAACATGTATACATATACATTTATCTGTTTGTGTAGTAGGTGTGTTCTGGAAAACTTCAATGTAAAGCATT